CCCGGAACTGGGGATTGAACTCAGAACCTTGCACTTGCCAGGGAAGTGCTTATTCCACTGAGCCATCTCCCAGCCCCTAAAATCTTTTTTTTTTTTTTTTTTTTTTTCCCCCAGAACCGGGGATTGAACTCAGGCTCTTGCGCTTGCCAGGGAAGCACTTATTCTACTGAACCATCTCCCTGGCCCCCGAAACATTTCTTTTTGGCACAAATTATGCATCCTTTCAATATGACCAGGGACCAGAAACATTCTAGACTGGAGTCACCCTGTCCACCTGGAACCCACGGCCGAGACAGTACAGGTGCCATGGATACACTGTAGGACGGACAAGAAATAAGGCTCTGCAGTGTGGGCCACGGAGAGGTGGGGGTCGCGTGTCACAGTGGCAGGTCCTACCCATCCTTAGAACCATTTGCAGCCTTGTGACTGAGCACAGATACTTGTCACATCTGGGTTTCTTTGTGCACCAAACGAGGATAATAATCGTGTGCAATTCCAAGGGAGTCAATGAGAATGAAATGAGATGATTCATATGACTGGCATATTGTAATCATGGAATATGTTGCTATTATCACCCTTCCCATGATTACAATAATTTCCTGCTAAACAGTAGCTGGCGATATACTTTGACCCTTAATTGCTTTGCTCCATAATTGATGATCTTTAATTCAGTTCAAACAAGGAGGCTGGCAACGAGCGGCTTTCAGCACAGTTCAAGGACGAAGAAAAAAAAAACAAGTGTGTTGACAACATTACAACGGGAGCACGCAAGGGGGCCCAGCACTGGCGCCTCAACTCAACAAACACTGGCTGGGAAGTAGCTGGAAATTGGGTGAAAGGGATTGGAGACGGCTATGACCCCCGATTTCCTCACCTAGGAAAAGGGATTGGAAAATGGCTTTGTGGGAGGTTTACGAGACAGGGGCTCCACAGTGGCCAGTGCCAAGTAGGACAGCAAAACCATGCCTGTCTGCGTGCCTCGCTTTCTCCTTGCTGCCCCCACCTTCAGGATGGTGTCACCTTCCTTTTTTTTCCCCCTGTATTTCAGGGAAGGGTCTACAAGATGTTCAGGGTTTCACTATTAGATGGGACTCGTCGTGATGCGCCTGTTTACAGCTTCCCAAGAGCTGGGATTACAGGCACATGCCACCACGCCCAGTCTCAATCACCATCTCAGTGCACTTGATATACTAGAATTCATGCGTTTAAATCACATATGCATCGAGGACCACATAGTATTTATGTTTTAGTTACTTTATTCACTTTCGGCCATTATCTTTGCTTCTCTCAAACGCAGCTAAAAGCGATCACTGTTAGGTATCTTACACGTGCTGGTGTCAGTGTACAAACCATCTAGAAGCAGACAGAGCTCAGAAATGCCAAGGGCCCTAACACAGCCCTTGGGATGGGGCTGGTATGCTAGGCCTGGGGATCAAAGCCCCAGCCCCTGCGCCTGCTTCAGGCACTTTAATCCACTGAGCTATTTGGCAGGCCTTTTGTGTCACCTTCTATTGTGACACTCAGCACTTCCGTGTCCTGGCCCTGGCCTCCTTCTCCTCTTTGTCTCTCATTACATCCTAACGCTGGCCTCAACCCATGGGACATGGAGTCTCACAGGCACACTGTCTCATGCCTGTGCCCTACCTGGGCTGGGTGCCCATGGACCTTCTTACCTGCTCCAGTACAGCTTGACATCACGCATCCTTTGCAAATCCGCTGATGTGTGGCGCCTCCTACTGGAAGCCTGCTCTGAGCCTCACAGTTGCCTGAATGCTCTGACCCGGGTGCAACAAACCCCAAACCACTGTACCATGTTATCCTGAGACTCTCGCAAGTGATTTTCAAAGGGTGGGCCTCACGGGAGCGTATGCTGGTGTCAAGGTGAGGAAATGGCTCTCCAGGGATTCTGCCATATCCCAAGGTTGAAAATTGCTAGGCTACACCTTCAGGGCTCAGGCAAGGCCACTTCCAGCTCTCTACCCACTGCAGCTCTTCACCCCGGGCTTGAAGAGCACTCGGAAAATGCTTCTCAACTAGAACCCAGTTATTCCAGCGAGAGTCGCAGGTGCCCGCTGTGCTACAGCGATACAGTTCCCTATGCACTGTGAAAACCGGAGGAGCGCAGAGAAGATATTTTGGCGAAACAAAATATGTAGGCAGAGTATAAGACACTTGCTGTCCAAACAGAAATTTCTGAGATAATAGGACCAATCTGAAATGTCAGAGAATTTACATGACATAGATTTATTATTAAAAATCTAATCAGGGGCTGGTGAGATGGCTCAGTGGTCTAAAGCACCTACTTAGAACAAGCTTAGCAAAGCACAGGGACCGAGGTTCAATCCCCCAGCACCACATGCCAGCCAGCCCCGCCCCCTGGTGGGCTGAGCTGCCCCCCCACATAAATAAAATAAATAAATTAAAAAAAAACCTAATCAAATTCCTGTGTTAGTGCCCTTAGCATTTCTGAGCTCTGTCTGCTTCTAGATGGTTTGTATACTGACACCAGCACGTGTAAGATACCTAACAGTGATCGCTTTTAGCTGCGTTTGAGAGAAGCAAAGATAATGGCCTAAAGTGAATAAAGTAACTAAAGCATAAATACTATATGGTCCTCGATGCATATATGATTTAAATGCATGAATTCTAGTATATCAATTAACTTCACAAAGATTAGAGGGATGGTATGCTCACTCATCTCTACTAGTATTCTTTTTAATTTTCTTTTCTTTCTCTCATGCTTTATTTATTTGGTACAGGATATCTCTACACAACAAGGACTCATAGTGATCCTCCAGTCTCAGCCTCCTCAGCACTGGGATTACAGGTGTGTGCCATCACGCCCGGTCTTGGTGGCCAGCTCAGTGAGGTACTGTGGATCGAACTTGGGTTCTTATGCTTGCCAGGCAGGTGCTTAGACTGCTGGGTTATCTCCCCAGCCCTAGTATTCTTTTTAAAGGTTTGTTTGGAAGTGCTGGGGATGGAACCAGGGCCTTGCACATGTTAGGCAAGCCCTCTCTCTACCACTGAGCTACATCCCCAGCCCTGCTATGCGGCTTGTGTTATTACTAAATGTTTATGAACATTTGTTCATTTGAAAAAAGAAGGCGTTTTTCCCTAAAGGTACTTAGCGGCGGCACTCTCTCCTGATATTCACCCGAACAGCTAATCTATTTCTCTATTTATGTAAGATTACACATTCTTGGTAATTGTTTGCTATATAAAATGAATAGATTTCCCAGGCACTGTTAATTATCTCAGTGTTTTACTTTTGCAATTACTTCGCTTGATTGGATTGCCACCTCTAACGCCCAGGAGGCGTGTGCTTTGAGTCACATTGAGAATATCCCCCTCCTTTGCCTCAGAAGCACAGATTTAGATAATTGTGGATGCAAATGACAGCTCGGTCCCTGCTATAGACTTTGCCCTTCTTTGGACACGATGGCAATCCGTAGCATCGTACAATCACACTCTGGAACGCCAGAGATGAAGCTGATTGGCATTCCACATCAACCAGGTATGGTGGCTGAGCCTACGCTTCGGATTTGGGCCAGATCCCAAGTGATGCCAAAGCGACTCCAAGAACAAAACAATTCTGCCCATGGTATGGGGCCACAAAAATTTTATCCCCTGCCATCTGATCTCCTGTGAGAAGGCAGTCGGGATCCCTGCGTTCCTCCCCACCAGCTGCTGCTTTGCTTTCTCTTCACTGCCAGCCACAGGTCTCAGCTTTTCATACCTGAGGCGAGCTCTCTGCATGGGGCAGCCCCCCAGCCCTCCACCTGCATTTTTAAATTTTTGTAGTTTAGTGCAGGGTCTACAGGGTCTCACTACACAGATTGGATTTGTAGTTATTCTCCTGTTTTCAGCCTCCCAAGTGCTGGGATTATGGGTGCACACCACCACACCCAGTCTCAATCTCTGTCTCAATGCACCCCAAAGCAGGGCTAGCACAGCAGGCAGGGGATTAAACCTCCAACCCCTGCATCTGTCTAAGCAGGCACTTTAATCCGCTGAGCTATCTCGCCAGCCCTCACCTGCATTTAAAAACTTTAAAAAAAATTTTTTTCTCTCTTGTTTTGATTTTAAAAAGCAGGGTGAGCTTGTCTCTGAGGTCTACAGACCCTTTCTTAGTGAAGGCTCAGATGGCCCCATAGAGAGTTCTCTTTACTGCCTTCTTCAGAGTGAAGGAGGGAACCTACGACTGTCAACCAGGCCTTGTGGGATTCAGTAAATGACATTCAGACTGGACAGTGTAGCTGAATTAGGACGCCACTGGCCAGGGTGGTGACGTGGTGAGTGATGTCACGGTCTGACTTGTTTCGCCTATGAATTCCCAGCGGATGGTTATGAGATCACATACGGCGGCTGTGCCTGCGCTCAGAAGTATTTAGTGGAAGCTGGACAGTGACCACGCTCCCTGAGGGTGAGCAGTGTGGCCCCCAGCAAGGCTCCCGCTAACGCGCGCTGCTGTGTGCCAGTCACGATGCCAAGGCTCACTGCACGCACGCCGACGCCCTCAGCCACCTCTTGTGTAGACACCAACACCATCCCCTTGCTAGGGAGGAAGACACTGAAGCGTAGACATGCACCGGTGGGCAACAGGTGAAGGAGGCTTGGGGAGCCTCAAGGCTCAGAGGGGGACCGAGGAAGTTGGGGTGACGCATCCTACTCGACAGCCCAGCTGCCAAGAAGCCCCTCCCAAAAGCTCACTCTTTATAACACAGAACTTCAGAGTTCAAATAAAATCCACGTATAATTTGACCTCCTAATTGCATAGGTGAAAAAACTGGTGCTGGCGCCCAGAGATGGCAAGCGACCTGTCCAAAGCCACAGAGAACATTCAGAGAATCAGACTGGGAATCAGCTGTCCAGGCTGCCTCTTGGTTTAGATCCTTCTGGAGGCCACAGATAGATTCCAAGGCTCCACAATCCTTAAAACTATATGTTTTCTTTCTTTCTTTCTTTCTTTCTTTCTTTCTTTCTTTCTTTCTTTCTTTCTTTCTTTCTTTTTTCCTCGGGAAAGGGCTCATATGTATTAACCCAATTGTCATAGTACCATTAACCATAGCAAATAATGATACTTAGCCACTCAGCCCCAGGTCTACTTGAAGTCATCTATATGCACGAACTCCTTTAAGCCCAAAAGGACCCTAGAGAAGTATCCTTCTATTATCCTCATTTTGCAGGTAAGGAAACAGGTAAGGAAAAAGGCCCAGGGAGGTTCATTAGCCCAAGATCACATACTTGGTAAAATAGCAGAGCCAGGCTTTGTTAAAACTTCTGCCCTGATCCAGCGTTATTGCTATTGTCATACACATTCTTCTAGGCAATACACTGGTATCTGATAAAAAAGATTTACAAATAATAATGGCGTTTCCTGAAGGCACATAAGGCCCTACACTGAAAGAATTTGGGCAGCTCTGTGGTGATGGTGATTGGCTCAGTTCCAGGTATTACTTTACCAACACAACTCCGGGATTCAAAATAGGAATGTCTTTGGTTATTTCAACAAATGACCCTTCCTCCCTTCTCAAGGTCATCCCCTTCCCTTTGCCTCAGAAGCCCTGGTGGCAGGGGGACAGCTGTGGCTGTGAAGTTGGCTTCAGGATTAAGTTTTCAGCTGGGCTGAAAAGGTGCAAGCAGGCTGCTCCACGGAAGCCACTGCAGACGAGAAAAGCCAGGGTGGGGCCCAGGGGCCTGCAGGAAGGCTGGGATGGGGACTGATTTATTGCAGTGATTGGATTCTGTGGAAGGCAAATGCAAAGAGCAAGCTTGGGTCAATCACTGGGATAATCTGCCTCTATCTACACACTCTGGCTGCCCACAACCGCAAAGCTGCCCTGCAGCTAACAGCTTTGAGGTAGGTGGGGGAAGAGTAGACTTGCACCCCCTGTGCACCCACTCCATGTCAGCCCTGGACTCATCATTTGATAATATTTGATAATACGACCCATTTTCATCTACGTGTGGTCACGCATTCCTGTAGTTCCAACACTCTGGGAGGCTGAGGCAGGAGGATCACAACTGGCAACTCAGTGAGACCCTGTCTCAAGGCCTTGAGTTTTATCCCCAGTAAAAAACCAAAAACAGGGCCAGCCAGGTGGCTCAGTGGATTAAAGTGCCTGCTTAGGCAGAGCACAGTGGCTGGGCTTCAATCCCTGGGCCTGCCGTGCTGGCCCTGCCCCCGGGGCATGCGGAGACAGTGATTGAGACTGGTCATGGTGGCGTGTACCTGTAATCCCAGTGCTTGGGAGGCTGAAAACGGGATCACTATGAGTCCAATCTGTGTAGTGAGACCCTATACACCCTGTCCTTAA